TTCTGTGTTTCCAGTGTCTGAATCATTATGAGAAATGAAATTGCACATGATATTTCTTTCAGATACTTATGACCAATGATCTTGAAGTGTGTATATCAGTAAGAAAACTTAGTTTCCTGATGCATCACTGAAGTAGTGTGACAAAGCAACGATGTTGGAGACAGAAGTCAAAATAACACATCTCCTACCTCTCCCAATGAAAAAAAAAAAAAAGGAAACAATGGAAATTCAGTGCTATTCCCTTGCTAATTTAGTAACAGTCTCATCTTAAATTTAGAAACCAGTGTGATATTTATTAAGTTTTCCCTACTGTGAGTTGTTCTGCACAGAATTCTCCAGGTTCTTGAGACCACGTGGTGGTGCAGCCCTCAAAGTGACCCAGCTGACAGCGGGGCTGCCGCAAGCACCTACCCAACAGGCCCAGCTTTCACAGCACATGACAAACATTATTATGGTTATATCACTATTGAGAGTTCAGATGGCAAAATTCTTGATGACGCTTGATGAGTAAGCACTTGCTGGATTGTCAACAGCAAAACCCTCTCTCTTGGTATCAGTAACACAGGGGAGCTTCCTGTGTCCCTGTCTGTCTTCATCATCTGTAAATGTTCTCAGGTCTACAAGTATAAAAAGAATAGATTTTAGTTAGTAAACCAAGATATTAGTAAAAGCATGGGTTTTTTGCAAGGTTAAACCTGTCTCTGTATGAAATAAATCTTTGAGTTAAGTTACTCAATGGTCTCACAGCTTGTGATTCTGATTAATAAAATATACTTTCTTGCAACTTGAATTTTTTTCAGCTAAATATGTTTTTGAATTTTTAAAAAGATAAAGCAATTTGAATTTTGCACTTTTGTTTTGCAGAATTGCTATCATATCTTTTTGTTGTCAAATCAAGGCTTACATGGCTCATTGCATCTATGCATAGCAAAAAACCAGAACTATAATTCCTGTGAAATTTTTTATAGATCAGAATCAACACCTTTTTGAAATGTACTCTGTAAAGACTTGTTTAAAATAAGGGGTTTGTTCTTCAGAGCTAACATTAGCATTGCGCTGGCATTTATGACTTTGACTTGGAAATGAGCATTGTAGAGTTCAGAGAGCAGACTTTCCTCCAAAATATTTTCTTAAAATGCTATGAAAGCTTCAGCAACTGTTATTTTTGGACCATTTCTTTTAAAATTGATCACTTGTTGAGTTTTCAGCAAGTACATCTTACAAAGTACATGCTTGAGTCTTTTCTGTGTGTGAATGTAGACATATTTTTGCCTGTTTCTTAAAAAGTTAAAGTCTTTCGTACTTTTGGGCTTGAGTAAGTCTTGTGAATCTTATTGCCTTTATCTGGACAGTTGTTGGCATTTAAGCAATCTCATTGTTGGCTCTATGGCTCTGCATCTAAAAAATTTTTTTTAATCTTTTCTGCTTGCACTACCTTTATTGTTACAAATGATCCCTTTGCCTTGTTCAGTTTTATTTGTTACTGGAATTGGCATGACAATTGAGGGTTCTTCTGGGATTTCAAAATTCAGTTCACAATTTAACTTCAGTCTTCTGGACCTTACAGATCTAACAGCCAACTTGACTTTTAGCTGTCTTCTGGAAGTAAGGCGGGGAGACTTGGAGAACTTAGCTTGAGAATCCACTCTGAAAATGTTATTATTGGAGGTTTTGATCTCATACGTTAGCAGTGAATGGCACATTAAACAGTATACAAAAACTGAGTATCTTTCTGACATGGCAAACCTTTTCTATTTTGGATTGCTGAAGTTCTCCTTTTCAGGAGAGTCCAATACCAAGGTAGTGGCTTCCACTCAGTTTATATTGTCTGATCAGCTTGTGTTTGTGATAGATTCCTGGCTATAAGACAGATTCAGGATTGAAGATTAAAGATGTTTTATCCTAAATATTAGGATCAGAGCTAAATAAGAACTAAGTATTAGTTCTTGTTTATAAATAATGAAGTCTGAAGCCTTTGCATCCTAATTCTTGGATCATGATTCCTGTAGATGTGAAGTGTGGTGTATGAAAAATGACATGAATTTACTGTTCACCAGATTTTCAAAGCTAAGACTAAAAGGAAATATTGCTTTTCTGTACAGCATTCACCTGTTTTACTGCCTTGTTCTTTTCCTGAGATAAGAAATTATAGTAATGGTTTTGCTTTTAGAAATATATTTGCATAAGTAATAAACCTTAGAAAAGGGCACGGGAACGATTGAATGAAATAATTTTGTTTATTAGACATTAAAAGTAGCAGCTAAAAGAAACACACAGCAAGCTATTCAAGATAATACCTTTATTATTCTTTTTAGGACTAGAGCTGGCCACACGATCTCCACATGATCTCCCAAAAGCATATGAACTGATAAATTTCTCACTTGTGATATGAAAAATTACTTGCAACTTCACTTTACTTGAGTAGCCTTCACACTAAAAGGAGAGTGTTCATGTTAATATTTATTCATCTGTGCTTTTGTCATTGAAGTCGTGCAGCTGAAATCATTGGGGTGTTTGAATGAGATAGCTGGCTTAAAACGCTGTTCAGGCTTTTGGGTACCAGGGGAATGGCTTCAGTATAAAATGTGAATAGAGCAGTAATGATCTTTCAGAATCAGATGGTGCAATTGTCAAAAAAAATTGCATTTCCTGCGATTATTTATAAGCCAGAAGACAGTGTGACATATGGAGGTGAAATTTCTGATGTGTAGACCATGTACACAAATGTGATGCCAGGAGCTGAGGACAGAGGAATATGGTGTGTCTCTGTAGGGAAGTTTTCAAAAGAGGTAAAGAGAGAAGAAGTATTTGAGGGTGAGAAAAAATAATAGAAAATTTCTTCCCATATGGTACCTGAGGGATTTGAAGGAAGCTAAGAATCAGTATTCAAAAATGTCATGTTGTTTTTCTAATTACTTTTTGTCTCTGACCTTTGAGGATTTAGGAAAATATTTAGGGCTGACTAACTTCTTTAGTCAGCTGACATAAAAATATAGCTAGGCTTGGAACTGTGTCATTGAAGTCTGCGAAGTTTCACCTTATACTAAGCTAAACTTCTTCCTTCAGTCTCACCCTCATTAAGTTCATATGTATAAATAAAGGACAAAAATTATATTTATAAAATTGCATAAAAATAGAGTATTTTGAGGTACGTTATATCTGTCTAAAACATTTTGCACACATCCAACAGCATGCAAAGGTAAATTGGCCTAATTTAAGGAATAATCCTGCGTAAATACTAAGAGAAATGGTGCCACTGGAGTTTGATATCTATTAAAATTTAGACATGTAACATAGTAGTGAAAATCTCTGCTCTGGTTGTGGTTGTAAAATCTCCAGGCTTTTCATTGCTATGTAATCAGTTTACTAATGCATACACGCATGAAAAGCTAGAATATAATCAACTAGGCTTAGTTAAATACATGATAAAGCTATTCACTAAGTGTAATAAAATAAAAGCTAAAAAATTATATTCTTTAAAATTAAGAAAGTAAGGAGAAATAAATTTTCTTTCTTCTCTGAAAAGCTTTTTTAAAATATCATATTCATTACCAAAGGAATTTATGCACTATGGGAAGTAAAGGAAGAAATCTCCATCTAGGGAGTGACAGGGAAACTATCCTCCACATTCTAATGTTATATATTATTGTCCATTGGTGAGATTTTATTGTTTTGTTTAGTTTTATTTTTGTGTAGATTGTGAAGATTTTTATTATATTTTTAAATTTAAGTTTATAAAAGAATTATGTTGTTACGTCTGCTGAGAAATAGATGATCAACTTAAATATTGTCTCTATATGGAGGCATTATGTGAGATGTCTCTCTACTACATTGCTTGTCTGAACTGGAGGCATGATGCAGCCATCATGAAACATGCAGAACATGCACATAACCTCCCCTCAGTGTTTCAGTATATTTTCTCATTAACCCAATTTGGTTATTTAAAGTTGCTTAGATCATTATTGTTTTTGTCTTTTTGTCTGCAGAACTGCTTCAGAATTTATTTTGTAATTCATGCTCACAGTGGTTGAAGTTCAGCTGTAGCTTTTATTCTGAAAAACAAGACTGACTTCAGCTTGTGACTTGGCACATCGAGTGCAAAGTGTGGTAGGAAGTGCATGGCCAAGAGGAGAAGAGGGGGATAGGAATTGGGAGGTGGGGTTGGAAGGATGCTCAGTGCAAAAGACAGCAGGGAATCTGGTATCAAAGGTATTAAGAGATGAGTAATAAATGAGATCTTAAAATAAGGACAGGAAATTAAATAGAAAGAAATGGATACACAGTGAATGAAGGGATACAGAAGAAGAGAGACTGGAGTGGTAAGGAAAGTGCTTTTGCACCAGGGGAAAAATGAATTCTGTCAAGAGCTCAGCTATGATATGGAGTGTGAAACATCGGTAGGCCACGTTTTGGTAACTGAATATGCTTTTACTGGTAGCCAGTGGAATGGGTTAAAAGTCACTACAGCAGAAGTGATAGTTAAACATAATATAATGTGAAGGCAAAGTTGAACACAAACTGCAGCTCCTAAGAGGAGCTCATAATGCCATAGATTAGTCCCAAGAAGGCTTTTAAGCCTCCAGCACGGCCTGCAGCATCTACTCCATATATTGCATAATCACAATGTGTTGCATTTACATTTTCTAGGTTTCACTTGTAAACTAATTTGGAAGGTGGGGAAAACTTAGTATTAACATAATAAAGTGTTTGTTTTTCTGTGTAAATTTTGCAGTAATGTAATTTTTGAAATGCAGGTTATTATCATACCCTTAATGCACTTCTATTAGATTTTACGAGTCGTAGCTTAAAGAAAGAAGTGACTGGTATCTTTCTTTGCTGAAAGAAAACAAACGAAAAATAGACTGGTCTAGTTTTTTCTAGACAAACTGAGCAAAACATGCAGATCTTTTTTGCATGGTAGAACAATATTAATTGGCCTAGGGAACTGAACAGGAAGAGAAAACTTACTAATCTAAAAATGGCTGTTCTTTTGTTCCTAGGTTCAGACATTGTTCAATGGTTAACGAAGAACTTGTCTATAGAGGACCCAGGTAAATTTTCTTTTTTTCATGTCTGAAAATTCTACTTTGTGTTTTTTAATGGTTGGACTTGACTTTGTCTTCTGTTGCAGTGGGGGTGGCTGGGCAGCATTTGATGAGTATAATTTCAGTAGCAAAACAGACAGCATCAGACCTTAGAAATCTTTCTCAAGAGTCTGAGGATTTTGGTTATACATTTTATTGGAGCAGGTACCAAGAAACAAGATGATGGGCAAGAATGAAAATGATAGTTACTTTAATTAGGAGAAAATGAGTTCAAGTTCTGCTCCATCAGGAATTTGCTGTGTCGTGCTAAATAGTTTGTTAAATATGAGTTGTTTTCTTAACAGAATTTTTCAATATATAAAAAAATAAATAGAATTAATAAAATATGCTCTTGTACCGTTAATGGGACCTTAATTTCTATTCTTAAGTTTGGACACTTTATAGCATCTTAGAATCATAGAATGGTTTGGGTAGGAAGGGACCTTAAAGATCATTGAGTTCCAACCTCACTGCAATGGGCAGGGACACCTTCCGCTCAACCAGTTGCTCAAAGCCCCATCCAGTCTGGTCTAGAACACTCCCAGGGATGGAGTGTCCCCAGCTTCTCTGGGCAACTTGTTCCAGTGTCTCATCACCCTCACAGTAAAGAATTTCTTCCTAATTTCTAATCTAAATCTCCCCTCTTTCAGTTTAAAACTGTCGACCCTCGTCCTATCACTACATTCCCTGATATAGACTCCCTTCTCCTATAGGCACCTTCCCTTTAGGTACTGGAAGGCTGCTATAAGGTCTCCCCAAAGGCCCCTCTTCTCCAGGCTGAACAAACCCAACTCCCTCAGCCTATCTTCATAGGAAAGGTGCTCCAGCCCTCTGATCATCTTTGTGGCCCTTCTCTGGACTCACTCCAACAGGTCCATTTCATTCTTATGTTTGGGGTTCCAGAGCTGGATGCAGTACTCTTTGTGGGATCTCACCAGAGAAGAGTAGAAGGGGAGAACCACCTCCTTTCACCTGCTGGCCATCCTTCTTTTGGATGCAGTTGGCTTTCCAGGCTGAAAGTGTACATTGTCAGTTCATGTTGAGCTTCTCATCAACCAACACCCCCAAATGTTTCTCCTCAGGGCTGCTCTCAATCCATTCTCTGTCCAGCCTGTATTTGTGCTTGGGGTTGCCCTGACTGACATGCAGGACCTTGCACTTGGCCTTGTTGAACCTCATGAGGTTCACAAGTGCCCACTTCTTGAGTTTGTACCTGTCCCATCCCATCCCTCAGGCATGTATATGACACCACACAGTTTGGTATTGTCAGAAAACTTGCTGAGGGTGCACTCAATCCCACTGGCCATATTGCTGACAAAGATGTTAAACAGCACTGGTCCCAGTACTGAGCCCTGAGCAACACCACTTGTCACTGGCTGCCACTTGGACATCAAGCTGTTTACCGCAACTCTGTATGTGAGAACATCCAGCCAATTCCTTATCCACTGAGCGGTCCATCCATTAAATCCATGTCTCTCCAGTTAAGAAACCAGGATGTCATGTGGGACGGTGTCAAATGCTTTGAACAAGTCCAGGTAAGATGCTGTCAGTTGCTCTTCCGTTATCTGTTACAGCTTGGTGTCGTTGGCAAACTTGCCGAGGGCGCATCTTACATGGAAAGTGAACTGTAAATATAATCAATGTAGTGAGAAAAAAACAGTTCATTGCTTGATCGGCTGGGTCAGAACGTGGAAGTAAAGCTTTGGTTCCAAGCTCTACCACAGGTTTCTTGTGTGGCCGGCAGCAAATGCTGATTTACAGGAATCCTGTTAAATGATCTGAAATTTTCCAGAAAGGAATCATTTTTAGTACAAAATGCAGAATGACAGAAATAAAATATTCTCTGGAAGTTCCTATTATCTTTTGGTTAGGAGAAAGATAATCTTTCTTCTTTAAAGAATGATTAAAAATACTTATTTTTCCTCTCTCTGTTTCAGACTTTTGGGAATGGAATTTGTGTTTTGTTTTGTTGTTGGTTGGTTTTTTTTTAGTTTAAAAAATGTGGTTTTCTTTCACATTAGAAATGAAAATATGATCAATGTGGAATTCCAGCAAAAAATAAAATCACCATGTTTAACATCGTAATTTAAGTAATAAGGAATTATTATAAATACAAAATTGACACTTGGAAGTAGCCAGTTCACAATGTATTGATAAGCTACATGACGAGAACATGCTTCCAGTTTTATGTAACTTTACACAGTGTCGTGTTTGCTTCCTGAAGATACAGTGGAGGTTGCAAGAGATCTATGTTAGATATTGTATTTCTCAGCTGTCAGCAACAAAACAGTCACCTATCTATATTTATCAAGATTTTGAAAGGTTGCCATTTTATGTTTATTTCATATGGAAGCCTAACTTTTATTTGTCAAACCAGAACAGCAATACTGGGATAGGCTGTCATTCAGATATCTGATTGCTGTGAAATTTGGAATAGATGAAACCTTAAACTAAATGGAAAACATGGTTCCATGTGTTGATGTCCAATTAAAATTAAACAAACACACAAACTACTAACATATGTAACCAGAACACCACAGTAATTTAATTTAAGATGGGTTTTATCCTCTCAGATTGCAGGGGTGGAAAAAACTATCCACAAAGACAGAAATGTTTTATGCATGTCAGTCCTAGTCCAAAGTCATCTCTCTGGAGCTGGATGCTTGCAAATCTTCAGAAAGCCAATTGCCCTAAATGCTGCCTGTGGGTAGTACTCAGAATTGCCAGAGAGCAGTGAACCTGACAGATGGCAACCAAGAGCTATTCACATGACAAAAGTTCTGAAAATATTCTGTTTTGTAAAATTTTTTAAGTGTGTGACTCTTTGTTCCAGTTCTAGACAAGACAGTCTAGAATTTCCTGTGGAAAAGCCCTAAAATTCTGTGAAGTGTTGTCACCATGATTTGGATTTCCAGCATCTTCTGTCTGCTTGTCACCAATGTGTTAGGGTTCTACTATGGCTGTCTTTTTAAAACTCCCCTGAGGGTCTTGTTGCAAAGCTCCTGTGAAAGTGGGCAGTTTTGTGATGGAGAAGTAAGTAATGCCTGTGTTTGCACTGAAAGTTACCATCTCTGTCTAATTCTGATATCAGCAACATATTTGTAAGAACAACATAAAGCAGAATATATCCTACTCTGCCAAGAAGAACTTAAGGACTATTTTACACTTCATCTGCCAGTGCTGTGAACTACTCATGTGAGCAAGACAGGCAAATTGAACTTTAAGGGGTAAGTAGACAGACAGAAACATAGAGCAGCCCAGGTTAGGTGGCACCTCAGGTCATCTCCTCCAACCTTTCATGGGAAAGAGAGCCAAGATGAGATTATCTAGAAACCTGTTCAATGTTGAACACCTCCAGTGATGTGGACTCCACCATGTCCCTGGGGAGGTTGTTCCAGTTACTGATTGTTCTCACTATAAAAAATGTCTTGGTCAAGATGAAACTTCTTGTACAACTTGTACCCATTGCCCCTTGTCTTCTCCATGTGGCTTCTTGTGAAGAGAGCTGCCATCCTCTTTCTAGCCATCCTTTGAGTACTAGAAAAACTGTGATGAGCCTTCTCTTCTCTTCTCCAGAACGTATCTCTTTTAGTCAACTTGTTCTTTAATGAAACAAAGAACTAGTAAGAAGGAAGTGGCACATTAAAAAACCCAAAAAGTCATGTTTTGTAGTAATTTTTTTTTTCCTTTGCTTTGCAAAGGGAATACTACTCCAGTACCATGTAAGTGGGAATGAAGAAGGCTGCTTTATGGATAGTGTGAGAATAAAAGGCAGGCGAAGGCCTGGCAGCATCATTAGCTTTCACTGTGTTAATAAGTGTAAAGCTATTATCTGGAAACAGCAATTTCAAGTAAAAAATAGTTACAAGTTATAAATTGCTAGTCAAAAAAACCTTGCCATTTTTGATAAATGGAAAATAATTTTCTGTGGAAGATTTTAAAGATTTTGGCTTGCTGCAGTAAATCTCCATCAAGAAAATAAACTGGAGATGATGAGTGGATTCTGCTAAATTATACCAGATTTGAAGTTATTTCAGTGGAGCAGAATAGAGCTTGTGCCCAGAATAGCTGTGCAGAGCATACAGTTGTTGTTATATTGTTTGCTTTTCAATATGTACTTAAAAAAAGTTTGTATTTCAGCCTACAACTCATCTGTAAAATTTAAAGGAACAGAAATTATCTAAGTTATTTTTAATGTGGAAGTTTAATTCTGTCATAAAAATAAGCCTGATCTCAACACGAAAAGAAGCAATTAACTGAGTTTACAGAATTGTAAGGGCTTGTGGTTTGGCACTTAGACATGTGTTTATTGAATTGACCATTACAGGGTAAGTGCTGACTCTTCACTGATGGTGCCAATTACTTTCAATGTGGAAAATCTGCTCTGTTTTCTACATTGTGTTTTTTTCTTTTTTAAAGTGATAATTTGTGCCGTGAAATGTACCAGACTGACCGCACTAGAAACTGAAGTCCTTTTAATCCTTAGGAGAAAAAAATAGAAGAAAAAGGATAGATAAGCTGATTTCAAGGTGTCAGCTGAAATTGCCAAGAGACTAATTCTGTCCTTGGTTCTTGCACTGATTTCTTTCATGCTCTTTCCGCAGACACTGTATTCCCTAACATTCCAACATGCTAATGCCAGATCATGCTGTTGTCTCTTTAAGGAGAAAAAACGTTGTCAGTTTTCAAGTATTTTCATAATGAAATGTGTGTTATTCACAAATATGTGTTTCATTCTTAAGTTAGCCCATGAAGAATTTCTATCTAAGTAACTCAGAATGAGCTTTTAAGAGTTGATAATATGTTTAACCATCATCTCCTTGTTCCTTTAGAGTACCTTTACTCCCGAGTGTTGCTTATTTAATTCACTCATATCTGCAAAGGCATTTGAATTTGGCTGAAGGCACTTCATTATTGAATGTTAACTCTAGCAAAGCCACCATGCTGCAGCCAGCTCCAGAATGTGC